GCTGTCTGTGTAAATAAGCACCCGTCTCCAGTTGGCTGTTGATTTTTGCCTTTTGTAAATCCTTCCCAAAAGCTACAAAAGCATTTAATTTATTGGAATATTGCTGGTTTTTATAGATCCACCAAAAGACAGTGGAGGAGCAGCAATAAATACATATGTTGTGGAAATGTCTGAAGGCTTAAATGGTAAGTATTAGGAGCATATGTTGGCATTCAGCTGTGGGGGTTTTTTCCTGTCTGTGTGCGCCTGTGAGAAGAACAAAATGTGTATTATGACAGGAAAAGGTATTGCCAGGGACTGCCATCAAAAAAAATAGAGGCATATTGATGCTTGTGTACAAGTTCCTTTTCTCTGGTTTAGAAAGAAGATGCCACAAAATTCTGTGTCAAAAAAGATGCTTCTTGATTAACTTATTAATTAAGTGTATTCTCTTTTGGAAATGAAATGAGAAATTTTAGACATTTTAGGGCAAGAAGACAGGGACGTGTAGCTTTGTCTGTATGACAGATGAAAGAAAAACTAGTGCTCTATTTGTCACTATTAAAGGAGAACAATGAGGCAGCTGGGATAACTGGTTTTGCTATTTGCCATTCTGTCCTTCCACACAGGAAGGAAATTAACAGTATTTCTAAACTGGACATAAAGCCATCTTGCATATTTAAAAATCTAGACCTCGTATGTAACCTTTTTAAGTTCAAGAACAGAGTTACATTGAGAATGAAAGTTTATACTTCTCCAGTGCTGTGTCAGATTGAGACAAAGCACTGTCCTCAGATGTGATGGGAGCCCTCTCAGGGCTCTCACCTGTGGTTCTTTTGATACTTATTCTATCCTTTCCTTACTCCTTACTCCGTCACGTGTCCACACTAAGTCACTTTTGGAATGATGCATCCAAGCCTTTTGTGCATATTTAGTGAGCTAAATGTAGTGTATTACCTTTTGTTCTCAGTCTTCTAAATTCTGTGATGTATTGAGTTGTTGGAGACTTAATTAAAAGTCCCAGGTTCCCTGCTTAATCTCTTAAAAGAGAGAGAGACTGCAAAAGAGTTTCTGATTTAAGAATAGCAAATGAAATCAGTATTTCAGATGCTGCTGGGCCATTAAGAAATACAGGAACAAACTTTATCAGTTGTAAACTGTAGTTACAGCCTGCAAAATGATGTTATAATTAGAAGTTTCTTTTCCATGGAAAATACTGCTTTTGTATCTTTCCCATTTATTCAGTTATGATGTTGAATGTGTTTGCTGGCCCAGGAATAATTATTTCATTAAAAATAAATTATCTTCTAGTTAAGGTGAATACCAAAGGAAGCTATTTCACTTCAACAGATTTACCTAGGAAACTCTTTATGAAATTATTGGATCTTCCAGGAAACTCAAAGCAAGTCTTAATTTCTTTTCCTATAAACATCAGGCACACATTTATTTAGTGAAGCTCGGATACCTGCTGTGGCTGGTACTGAAGTGGGGCAAATTACACCTTGGTTCATTGCACACTTATTTCTAACTTTCAGGAAACAAATGGGACACAATATATAGCGGAGCTGCCAGGGAACATGTGTGTGACCGGCTAAATCCTGGCTCTTCCTATCGGTTACGTGTATATTGCGTTGGAGAAGGAGGACAAAGCACGGTAATAGGAGCTAATGTTTTTATTAAATAAAATTTCTTTCTCTTTAAGAAAATCTGGTCCAGTAGATAGATTTAAGCAAATATTGTGCAGAAGTGTCTAACAAAATAGCCATAATTAGAACCTCAAAGAAGTTCCAGTATTGATGCCCAGTATTTCAAATTTCTGCTCATTTCTTAAAGAAATAAATGTGAATATTCTTTTCTGATACTGCATTTGGTTTAACATGATTTTTCTTATTTACAGAAACGTACTATGTCTTTTCCTCTGTGATACATTAATAGAATGTCATTTATTAAGGCCTAACCCAATGTAGCAGTGTAAGCAGGGCACTGGAACAGGCTGCTCAGGGAAGTGGTCACAGCACCAATTATGACAGAGTTCAGGAAGCATTTGGACAATGCTCTCTCACATGGTGTGGATCTTGGGGTTGTCTTGTGCAGGGCCAAGAGATGGTCTTCCATGATCCTTGTGTATCCCGTCCAACTCAGGAGATTTTGTCATTCTGTGAATTTAATGTTTTCCCTGTGGTCAGTGGAGTACCTAGTCTGAGTAGCCAAGTCAGCCCAGCAAGCAAGGGAGGAAGTCTCCACTTAGGCTTTACAGGGTTGTGCCCTGTAGTCTCTTCCCATGCTGTCTCAAGCACAATTAAAATATTTACATTGCCCTAGTTTTCAATATTCCCAAACAATTTGCTGTGCCATACTATGCACATTACATACACACACACTTGCACTGTCACTTCTGTGGTGAAATTCAGCTGCCAGTGCCAAAATGTTGTGCTGTATTCCTCTCCCTTCTCAGCACCAAGTGTAAGAAGCCAGCCCTGGCTCTCTACAGCCCAACTCTATTACTTGAATAAACATTAAGAACCAAAGAGAAAATAACTTTCAGAAAGTCCTGATACTTTCTGAAGGTGTCAGAAATCAACAGAAGAACAGTAAAGAAAGATGTAATTAACTCCTCTATCGCTTGTCATGGACATGTGCCTCCTGAGAAACATTCTGGTTTTTAAGTAGCATCAGTTGTTCAGTGCAACAATACATTTCAAAGGAATTGAAAACCAGCAGAACTTCAGATCCACTCGTTCTTGAACATAGGCAGAAAGCAGTTGTGAAAAGGGGCTCTGAGGTGCATTTCTTTTGTAAACTTAAAGACTTACCAACTTTGTTCTGTATCACACTGCAACCAATAACCCCTCATCGTCTCTGCTCGTTTCTGTCTGCATTCAGAATAGCCAATGCCATCTGCTGTATGTTGTTATGCTATGCATTTTTGCCCAGATTTCAAATCAGAGGGGAAAGCTTGTTGCACATTAAGTATTACTAAGCAATGAGAAAAGTAACATCTCAAATTTTTTTAAATCTCTTCTGATTGAATTTTCTGCCCACTTTTGCTTTCTGAGAGGTTCTTGTACAGAGAGTATGCAACCCTTAGAGTAAGGGTTTAGAGCTCATTAAACTGGAGTTTATGGAAAAGAGAATGAGTTTACATTGAACAAGTCAAGCATCTATACTAGGTTTGTACTGATAATTAATCACTGTTTTCAGTTTTACCCCTTGCATGTGTGCCAAAACACAAAAGCAGAAGCTGATTTTGCATATTGCATAATTAGTGTAGCATGTTTTATTTAGCTATTATGAAAAATACACCAGATCGTTTAAGCATCTTCATGTATTTGAAGATGTGCTTCAGAAAAGGGAAGATCCTGTTTCTGGGTCAGTATTTGCCTTTACTTGTGGCATAATTGATAGTGCTTGTTTTGGCCGAGACGGCTTTGTTAATCTGTCTTTCCTTTGTAGGCATCTGATTCTTTACTGGTGCAGACACCAGCAGTGGTTCCTGGTCCATGCCAGCCTCCAAGGCTACAGGGTAGACCAAGAGCAAGAGAAATTCAGCTGCGTTGGGGTAATTCTATTACAAGTGTTAGTGATTGTAAGGGATCCAAATGTGTTAAGTGTTAAAATTAAATAAGTTTTTCTTTTTTCCTTATTTTTAGGACCACCCCAGGTAGATGGTGGTTCACCTATTACCTGTTATAGTCTGGAAATGTTTCAGACAGAAACTGATGAACACAGAGAGGTTTACCAAGGCTCTGATGTTGAATGCACAGTCGGCAGCCTTCTTCCAGGGAGGATGTACAACTTCAGACTGCGAGCAGCTAACAAGGCTGGGGTAAGGAGGCAGTCTGAAATGAAATTAGTTCCAGGGACTGCAATCACTATTAAGGATCTTTCCTTTCAAAAGAAGCATTTAACAGTAATTTTAAAATCAGATTTCCTAATGTAGAGTTATTTGAGTCACATAGCTTATTGTTGTGTGGGAACAGACAGTTACACATCAGTTTATAATGAAGGGGATTTTTAGATGAAGGGAAGAGAAAATAGATAATTATGTCTCTTATCTGAATAACAGCACTGGGAAATTATTAGGAAATGCTAAGTACTTTATTAAAGCACTGTTATAACTTTATAGTGTTCTCATGTGAAATCAGGTAACAAATTATTTTCTATATACAGCTTTGTAAATTGATTGACCTTCATTTTTACAGCTGTTGGTGTTCTAGAACACAACAGTGTTTCCTGACTCTCTCAATTTTTATATTTAGTTTAGCTTCTGAGTACATGTTCTGTCAAATACAAGACTATTCTCCCTCTTTGGAATACTAAATGTGTTTAAATCAATAGTTGCTATAGAACAAGCTTTATTTAATTATGTACCCAAAGTCCCAATTTAAAGGCAGAGAGGCAGGGCTGCTTACATTGATCAATAATGTTCTCTTCATAAAAAACTATCAGGACAAGTTGATACTGTTTGTGGAGAGGTCTGGAGCTTAAAGCTTTAAAGCATTGTCCTGACTTTTATCCTTCCCCCCACAAGAATGGTCTATAGCCCAGCAGTTTTTGAATCTTTTATTTCTTTTAGATAGATATAAAAAGGCAGTTACAAGTTGTTTAATATTCCAGTGCAGCCATCGTGTAACTTCAAAATAAGGCTTTGGATAGCGCTTCCCTGTTTTGCCCAAGAGTTTGAAGTGCCAAATTTATTCACATTGCATTTGCTGTAGTAAAGAAGAATCTTGCAGCTTTTCTGGAGAATAGTCACATACTGAAATAAATCCTGAATCCACAGTCCACAGAAATATATTTTATAAACACGTAATACAAAGTTTCAGGCTGTTGTTGTACATCCCTACTATGGTAAACTGTTATTTAAAAAGTAGTAATTTTGTTTTTACAATGTAGTTGTATCAACTGTCTTCTTAATAGTTTGGACCTTACTCAGAAAAATGTGAAATAACTACAGCACCTGGACCACCAGATCAGTGCAAGCCCCCTCAAGTGGCATGCAGGTCTGCTGCATGTGCTCAGGTGTCATGGGAGGTAAGAATGCCATGTTACTTCTATTCTAACATGATTGTCTTCTACATTTTTAAGCTCAGCTTTAAAACTTAATACTGTACTGTAATCCTATTTGTAAGCATGGGATTACCTTATCCAACACTTGATAGGTAAAGCCTTAGTCATTCATCATACCATTACACGGCAGCTGTAAGTTGGTAGCCTGCAGGTACTTGAGATCTTATTGTGTTCTTTTGTTTAAGAGTTTTGCCACAACTACTGCTCTGCATTTCTGAGTGATGCAGTCTCTTCTTAAAATTTTTCTTTAATGTAGTTATATTTCCTCAGAGAGAATCTATCCACGTAATACAACAGATGATTGTGCATTTGTTGGTTTTATAACCTGATTTAATTTTATATAATTACATCAGTAATAATGTAGCAAAAGCCTCACAGACTTCCTATAAACCCATAGTGTTTAGATGTCTGATAAAAAAATGCAATAGATAAAAATTAAGCTTGTAAAAAGAAAGATTCTATCTGGGAATATTGTTTAAACACAACTTTTCAGCTGCTTGAGATGGAGTGAAATATCTGAGTTACAGAATTGTACAGAAAAAAAAAGATTAAACTATTTTACCTGGAAGGTAGTGTTCATGCTTCCTACTGCATATGTCAGAGGAGCACTTCTTAAATATCTACAAGGCAAAGCCTTTTGAAAAACACCTCTTACAACATTCAGGTAGGATTAATTTGAGTGATGTTAAATGTCTGCTTTATAGAATCACACAGTAATTAAAGTACAAGTAGACCTCCAGATGTTATTTAGTTCAACCTTCTGTTCAAATTGGAGGTAACTTCAGGTTTAGGTCAAGTTTCTCAGGGCCTTGCCCAGTGAAGTTTTATTTATCTCCAAGGATGAAGATGTTGCAGCCTGGTAGAGGTGTCTGGGTAAACTCTTGTGCTGTAGGATTTTGTTTATGTCTAGTCAAAATACCCTTTAATGCAAGTCACAACTCTTTTCTTGTCACTGTGCCACCTTCAAGAAAAATTTGTCGTCATCTCTGTACCCTCCCGATAAGTAATTTAAAGGCAGCAGTAGGATCTCCCCTCAGCCTTATCATCTTGCTATCAAATAAGCAACACACAACTTTTTTGTTGTGTGTTGCAATCTCCTTTTGGGGAACTCAAGACAGGACATGGTACTGGAGATGCAGCCGCACAAGTGTTGAGTAGGGGAGCATCATTACTCCTTTTAGTCTTCTTGCTTCTCATGTGCTAATACAGCCAGTATGTAGTTTGACTTCATCAAATACACACCTTCTTTTTTGGTAAGGTTGCTCCTCAGTCTGTACTCTTTTATCCCAGCTCCAGGACTATGCGTTTACCACTGTATTCTTGGAACTTCTTGAAGTTTGTATCAGATTCCAATTGTGGAAATAACTCTGGTGGCCATACCCCTCAGCCTATCAAATGCCTCCCCCAATTTTTTGTCATCCCTGCACTTGTTGGCTTGGATTCCCTTACTTTTGTTAAGGTGAACTCCATTACATCTACAGCAGCAACAGCAGTAACACTGAGAAAGTATTGCATCTTCCCTGACTGTGGGAGAGCCATCCACAGCTGCATTAGTCCTCTCACCAAACACATCTCATTGTAAAGGAGAGAAGGGAAGGGGGTCCTTTTTAGTCACAAATCAAGAAGACCAAACGTTATTCTTTGAAATGCTGTTTGTTTTCAGTCACTTAACTTCACATGGCCTAATGCTGAAAGTACCTAATACTTCTCTTTCAAAAGAAGGGTAAAGGAAAACATGCTTTGGAGCAATTATCTGCACCCTGGTGTGATTGCTGTCTTGGAATATTTACTACAAAAGCATGTCAGCATTTTTCTTCTGTTTTCTTCACAATCTAAGAAATTGTTTTGCTTTTTGGTTGACTTTATTACTTCATTGACTGCTGATACCTTTCTGTAGTCTCATATCTTAGTCTGGCACTGGAACACGTGATTTTAGCTGTACTTCAAATTGTTATTTCTAAAGGGTATTAAAATCATACAACTCTCAAAATTGGGAGGCTAAATTTGGATTCCTAGGGTAGGTAGTGAGGAAAAACAGGCTCCTTGAGCAGGCATTTCAGTCCAGCTCTGTCTTGTTACTTACATGTCTCTCCCATTTGCTTCACAACTCTATCTTAGGAGAAGACAGAGTGCACAGTTTTCTGCTTCCCACTGTGCTCACAACCTAGTTTCCATGCACAAGAGCCATGATGTGCTCCAAAGGAGGAGTCCTTTAATCTGTAAGATAAAGACACTGTCACCAGTGTGCTTTCACATATTGTGATCCCTGCGCTAGAGACCCAGCCAGGGCAAACTCTCATACCCTCTCAGGACGACCATCTCTTACCATTGACTGTTGAGGCTCCAAATGCCATATGCTAAATGGTATCTGTATTTAAGCAACTGAAATCACAATTACTTTGTAAAGAGTAGTCTCTGCAACAATAAATAACGGTTTTGAAGTATAGGTGATCCAAGGCCAGTATTGTATTCTGATTTATTTGTATTGTACTGATTTAAAAATCAGCAAAGAAATGGGAGTGTAACATTCCTCTGAAAAAAAATAGATGTGGTTTGATTGACTTTTTCGGGTTTTGGTGGTTTTTTTAAATTTAAATTTTTTATTTTAATTTAAACTTCTAACTATTTATATCCATTTTAAAGGTTCCAGTAAGTAATGGAGCTGATGTCACGGAGTATCGACTGGAGTGGGGTGGCGTGGAAGGATGCATGCAGATCTCCTATTGTGGGCCTGGGCTCAACTGTGAAGTGAAAGGCCTTTTGCCTGCCACTATATACTATTGTAGGGTTCAGGTAAAGATGTAAAATTATTGTTAGTGAAATCAGGAAACAGGAATTGACCCTGCCATAAAAACATGGTCTACTTTGGATTTACAGGCAGTGAATGTTGCAGGTGCAGGCCCTTTCAGTGAAGTAGTGGCATGTATGACTCCAGCCTCTGTACCTGCAGTTGTGACCTGTCTTCGTGGACTAAGTGAAGATGAAGTTGAAAGTCCACACTATTCTCCTTCCACATGCCTTGCTATAAGCTGGGAAGAACCTTGTGACCATGGATCTGAAATCCTTGGCTACAGCATAGACTTTGGAGATAAGCAGCCAATTACTGTTGGGAAGGATCTGACCTATTTTATAGATGGCTTACAGCCAGATACTACCTACAGGTATGCCATGCACAGCTATGTGACAGCCTACTGTTTCTTCCATAAGAGCAGATGCATTGTTTGTTTGTTTTCCTTTTACTTTTTTATTGCCTGCATTATTACTCTGAGACAACCATTAGTACTGCATAGCCATGGAGCAAAACGAAGCTTTGTAATGATGATCATCATAAACTGTGCTACTTTTATTTTCTTTCAAGAATGATTTATTTTAGTTTGTTTATTGTAATAGTGTTGTATCTGTCTGGCTAATGTGTGAGGTTAACTGAATTCACATAAGGTATTCAGATTGATAACTGTTTTTTGGACCGGTTGCTTCATAGATGGCCTCTGGGGTGTTTGACAAGAAAAAATCAATCCAAGGAAAGACCTTGTCCAGTCTGATCGGTCCCACGGAGGTCAGAATTTAAGCCCACTCTGATTTCAGTGTAGTTAGGATATCATCTGGCTGTGCAGTTTTCTGAATCCTTAATTACTTTTTTAATGCTTTACATAAGACCACAATGTTTCTGTGTGTCTTATAATTATTTAACAATAATGCTGGCAATCTGAAGAACTGTTGCTCTCTGTGTCAATGGACTGAAAAAAGAGAAGCTTCTATTGTAGTACTTCTGTACTTCTACCCACAGAAGTGGTTTTGGTTTTTTTTTTTAGAATACACTGTCAACTCTGTGCAAATGAAAAATTACATATATTAACCTTAGTTCTGGGCTGTAATAAATTAGCATAATGTTAAATATTACTGTAGCAAAGGAGAAATATTTATTCTTGAGCCTGTGCACACATTTGCATTTCCACATTTTGCAGCTGTGTGGTTAATTGTTTCGGAATTTAATTACTGTGATTACTTTTTTCCAGTTACCTAGACACTATTTTGGACAAGCAAATGTTAGTCTGCAAAATGAAATTAGACACACTTTGTTCTCTGTGGGTACCTGTGAAATATGTTTTCTGTTGTATAAGTTTTCTGTTGTATAAGTATTTTAATTTTTACTTGTAAACCAAATGCCAGCGTTGTTTTCCATGGTGTCTTAAAAAAAAAAAAAAAATTATCCCTGAATATCAAATTTTACAAACGCCCCAGCTATGTGTCCTTTGACTTCTTTTGGTTTTTCCCTCTCATTTTCCAGGTAGATCCAAAATTCAAAATTTGTGTTTGCAGGTGCCCAGAGATGTGTTAATGGTGGAAACAGCAAGACAGCTGGCTGGGCATTATCACTTTATTTTCACATGAATAGGATCTGTTCCAGAAAGTCCATAAAAATTTCTGTTAGTCATCCTTGAACTCACCTGATGTAACACTCAAAGATATGATTTCCCCTCTTTGGGGATGGGTTTTTTACCTTCCCTCATCTCTCCAATGTGATATCAGAAACTTTGGTAGAAGGACTGCAGGGTCAGGAAGATGGACCACTCTTGAAGTAGCTGATAGAGCATTTGCATCTTTTCAGTAACATGAATTTATCTGAATATTTTTAATCAATCCAACTCCTTAAAATGTGGTAAGGAAAGTGATGCTCTGCATATTCATGACAGTCTATCAAAGCATATTCTCTCTTTATTGTGAATGATGGAAATGACCAGGGTTTTTTTTAGAATCTAATTTCTAATTAATTTATTCTCTCTTTTTCCAAATATTAGAGTACGAATTCAAGCCCTGAACAGTCTTGGAGCAGGTCCTTTCAGCCACACCATAAAGCTGAAAACAAAGCCTCTCCCACCGGATCCACCTCGCCTGGAATGTGCTGCATACAGTTCTCAGACTCTCAAACTGAAGTGGGGAGAGGGAACTGCAAAAGTATTAACTGACTCCATTCAGTACCACCTTCAAATGGAGGATAAGAACGGAAGGTTGGTTTTGGCATCGCTTTAATCTGCCCTGTATCGCTGTGGTCTGATGCTTGGGAGATGGCAGCAAAGGGCAGAATTCCATATGCTTTGCTGAATTTACAACAGACATAGGAGGTCGTCTCATCTGGCAAGGCAAGAAGGGCTCTGGTGTTCTGTACTGGGAAGTACAATATTTAAAACTTCATTGTTTTTTATTTACAGTTACCCATGAAGAGTTCAATGCAATGTTTTGTACCAGCACACTTTTCTCTCTCACTTTTGGTTAAATACTTTGTCAAAGTAGCAAGTCCAATTAGTGTTGTGGATTTTATATACTTAATATTGGAAGGGGTGAATTCTTTACTCTCTGTTGCCTTATATGCAATTATTTTAGTGGAAAATAGTAGAGATTATTATTTAAGAGATCCCTTGTCTCATGTTAAATCAGTCTAAGCTGAGATGGTACAGCAAGTACCCTTGCTTAAATGGTAAAGTGAGCAGTACTGCTACACTGTGTACCACGTTTGAGTCTCTGAGTAGCTTTAGCTTGACAGTGAAACAAAAGAGATCTACTAGGTGAAATTGCTGTGCTGTAAGAAAAAAAATAGACTCTTACCTGGAAAGAAATTCATTGCCATTACTAAAGACGAGGTCATGTGCAGGCACCATCTGTTTTAAATTTAAAAGAAAAGAAAAAGTCTAAGGAGATGACAACCCCTGCAGGAAGAGAGAAATTTGTGCTGTGTCCTGGGGATACCAAAACTGAAAATCAAACAAGAGCTGCCAAGATCAGTTTGTGAAAGAATTACAACAGGAGAATGGCCAGTGTACAGAACTCTCAGAAAGGGACTTGGTGTGCAGTACAAGTGTGACTCTGGCCTCCTGTGCAGGTCTGGGTGGGCCCATCTCCAGCAATGATGTACAAGAGCAGTTGTATCCATGGCACTTTTTTCAGGTGTTGGAGTTTTTAGGTGGGAGAGTTACAAAGGAGCAAAAAGCTAAAATCTAGTTATCTAAAAATTTTGAAAAGCTAAAGATGTTGGAGGAGTAGATGACCAAGAAAAAAACAATATATACAGCTCATTGGAGAGACACAACTGCTGTCCTTTGCCATTGTTTCAAGTGCAGAACGGTTTCTTAAAATGGACCATTTTTGGTAAGAGAGAATCTGTAGTATTCTTCATGCACGAGATTTTTATTTCAAAGACAGGAGAAATAAAAGCTTGGCCCTGGAAAATGAGCTTATTGTTTTATAGTAGCCAGAACCCTATTTAACTCTGAAATAAACATTTCTGGGCTTTTCATTAGATTCTGGGAAATTATGGGAACAGATTTCAATACAATACAGTAGCTATTTGAGAAGTCCTTTTCTGTGTTCAAAATAAGCTACTCATTCCATTTTCAGGTTTGTATCCTTATACAGAGGACCATGTCATACATATAAAGTTCAAAGGCTCAGTGAGTCTACATCATACAAATTTTGTATTCAGGCATGTAATGAAGCTGGTGAAGGTCCCCTTTCTCAAGAATATGTTTTCACTACTCCCAAATCCGTTCCAGCTGCCTTGAAAGGTAAAGGTTCTTCTTTTTTTCATTTGGGGGGCTGGGAGGATAGCAAGTTGATTTTGGTATTATGTTGTATTTGGAGTATTGAGAATGCTAAGCCCTTTTCCAAGCACAGGTAGGGATAGTGGGTGAATGCTCCTTTCATGTAATTGCCTAAAATATTTACTCCAAAAATTAAAGAGTCAGGGTTTATGCATTCTTTGACATAAGAAGGTTTGTACTTAGAATCCCTGCTTACTACAAGAGAGTGACCGGGCTGTTACAGCAAGTTGGGGTGAAAACACTTCCTTGCATGTTTAGAATAATTTTAAGCGTTGCAGCCTTCTTTTTTTTTTTTTTTTTACATGATGCACACTTATGGTCACCAAATTTCCCTTGCTTTCTCTTGAATGATAACTGAACTAGCAGTAGAGACCTATGTGAATTGTTAGTTGTTGCTCCAGAAAACTCTGGAGGAAGAATAGATTTGATTCTGAATCTTGTGTTTCTCTGAGACAAAATAGCAGGTAGAATATAGAATTTTATGGGTCACTAGAATATAACATTACACAATGATGAAAGCAGAGCTAGCTGTCACCTTTGTGCTTACTTCCTTCAGCACCAAGGATAGAGAGAATAAATGATCACGCTTGTGAAATCACATGGGAGGTTCTGCAGCCCATGAAGGGTGATCCAGTTATCTACTGTCTTCAGGTCATGGTGGGAAAAGACTCGGAATTCAAACAGGTATGATGTGTTTAAGTTATTGTATTTTTCTTCAATTACTATTTGTGATAACAAGTTCAGTAAAATTAGTTTACTAAAGATTGTGTTCCAGTACATTTTTAGTCACCATGCTAACTTTCTGTTACTAAATAATATAAGGTAGTATCTCTTAAAGCCATCATCACATAGAAAGGAGATTTAATTCTAATTAATTAATTCTAATTTAATACTACAAATTCTGCAGTAAGTTCCAGCCTCTCTGGGTTACACTGATGTTTACAACTGTTGACATCTCAAGTGGTGAGGAAGTCATCCATTAATGGGAACAACTGACAAAAAGAAACCTTTCACCCAATGGTACATAATTGAGACTGAGGAGAAAAGGAGCAAAGGGTTCTCTTTTCACTAAGACCTGTTTGAAGGCAGTAAACAATATTATAAAAGTGTTGATTTTGTTCAAGTCATACTTTTTTGCAGAGAACTTCAGAGGAAAGCCCTCTACTTAGGCAATATAGACATTCAGTTGTAGGAATTTTTTTAATGTAATTCAGTGATTAGGTTTTCACCATAGGACCATTTCAGCAGCAGGGCATGCTGTAACTACAAAGGTTGAGCTGTTTCCTACCATTTCCCTGCCAAAATTTCAGTCTCCTCTCCTTCTTCTCCCTGATGCGTTGTCCAGATTGTTAATGTCATGGCTTCTTCCATGCCAGAGTGAAAATAAGTTAGTAATCTGCTGTATGAGCTATATACATCAGTCTAAGATCTTCGAGACATTAGGAAGCAACCATATAAATACCCCAGCAAATACATTTGAGGGAAAAGCAACTTCTGGCAAGGCACTGAGGACAAGCAGCTGAGGGCAGTAACCCCTGCCAGCTGGCATAGCAGTAGCTGGAGTAGGATGTGTGTCAGTGGCCTGTTTGCTCACTACCAAACACATGATCCAAATTAGCAGAATTTTGAGGAAGCTGCACTTCCGATGACCTGCCTCAGAAAGAAAAGTCTCTAGGTTGTAGATTCCAGTAAAGGACAGCAAGAGCTCTTCAAACAGCAGAATTGGAAGAGATTTCCTCCTTTCATTGAATGGTCAGTGGCTTACATTTGTGAAATACTGTCTAACAGTATGGTAACTGTAGGGAAAGGTCTTGCATGATGTGATATTTCTGTATCCTGTTACCAGGTAAATAAAGGAAATCCAAATATTGGGAGGTAGGGTGAGGGGTTTTAAGAGAGAAATCAAATTGTACTGTGCTACCCACATAATGGCTCAGTACCTATTGATGTACCTGTAACTGTGCCTACATGAGTTTTTATTGGCTTTCACAGGACCTTTATGTAGCTGCAGATTTATTTAATTTGAGAAACCAGCATTTAGATTTCACTGAATTAGGCACTCCATGCTGAAGAGTTGTAAACTCATGTTAACCAGCCAACTGAGACACCTTTGGAGAACACCCTCATAAGTCATATCTGTCTTGGGAATATGATGAAATTAAGAATCACTGAGAGGATTCCTTGCAGCTTTCCTGATACAGTGTTTATTGGGATAAATTATAATATTTTAAATACACGATAACTTAACTACAACAAACTATGTTGGATTGTATTAGGCTTATTGAATTAGGTTTATACAGAGTTAACTGCCTAAAATCACATGATAATGATATTGTATATTACATCTAATTATAAGGGGTCAGTAAAACACCTTAACACTGGGGTTTCTGACAGAGTTTATTTAGTGTGTACTCATCATTCCATAAAAGCAAATGTAGTTCTTGTGTTTCACTAAAAGGACTGGAGAGTTTATCTGGCATTTAAATTGCATGTTTAATTTGCTTCTTGCACGGGTGAAAACACTGGTGAGTTGTCATCAACCATACTGAGATAAATATGCATATAGGACTTTTTACTTGATGTATCTGTTTTGGTTTTCCTTCACTGCCAGATCTATAAGGGTCCAGACTGGTCATTCCGATACACAGGCCTTCAGCTGAACTGTGAATACCGTTTCCGCGCATGTGCCATTCGACAGTGCCAAGAGACCACAGGTCACCAGGACCTGGTAGGCCCCTACAGCGCACCAGTGCTATTCATCTCTCAGAGGACTGAACCACTGGCAAGCACCAACAAGGACACTGTGCAAACCACAAGGACACAATGGTCACAGAGTGACCAAGTGTGTGCTGCTGTCATCCTTGCACTTTTTGCTATCTTTTCCATTCTGATTGCTGTTATCATTCAGTACTTCGTCATAAAGTGAAGAAAAGAGATCTATTTTATAATGCTGCCCATTACATTTTACTTTCTCATAATCTAAAAGTAATTCTGTTCTCTTGCTTTTACAAAAACAGGCATTTAGCACCGGCATTGAGACTGATGCAAACTTTTCAGCCACTTTAAAACACTTAGTCATAGGTATAGGCTGACACGTTATTAAAATGCAAGCCACAGAAATATAATCTTTTCTTTATATGCCTTCTTGCAGTACAAACTCGATATGGGGCAGGCACACAGTGTTTAATGAAAAGGGTTTGACCATTAAACACGAGTGTAAAGATGATTTCCTGGCCCACACTTCTAAGAGTTGCTACCATAACAGGGAAGAATGTGTAAATCGCATTTAAAACTTACACTAACAAACTTGTGCTGTATACAATATTAATCTGATGCTGTGAAAGCAATTTAGCGCTGTATTTCTACCTCCTCATTTGTCTTAATTATTTGGGAAGCAGGATTTATGCTGAAAAACAGAAGGGGCTTTTCTCAGGCAGCAAATAATAAATTCGATGGAAGAGCATGCATGAAGGAAGCTTCTTATCTGATAAATGTGGAGTTCTTCACTGCAAGTAGATGTTTCCGAAAGACTACAAGGAGATGGCACAAGTGGTTTATCTTACCCCCAGGATTTGATGTTTACTTACAAAAATGCCTCTTTTACTTCTGAATATAGAAGGGAGGGTGTGAGAGAACTTCTTAGACTTATTATTTAAATTGCAAAACACATTTCTGAAGCTGACCTTTGACTGGATGCAGTTTATACCAATGTCTGTACCCTCTGATTTTGGCTAGTTAATAGATTTTTGAGATAAAATTCATTATTGAATTTTTGCTGTTTCCCCAACATTCACTTGCCATATCCACCAGAAACAAGCACTGCCTTTGTTTATTTGTTTTCTTTCTTTCCTTTTTTTTACTTTCTTTCTTTCTTTCTTTTCTTTGGGGCACCAAATCAGAAGACGAAGTGTAGTAATTTGCACCAGAAAACTTAAAGCTGCTTTTTTCTTGAGATCCTAATGTTTAATGTAATGTCTCTTTGGATACTGTACCAAATTGTTGATTGCATGTAGTTAATGTTGCATTAGAGCACTTTGCAATGGCATAACTCATCAATGTTTTGTGAGCTTGCATTTGTGAGTTCTTGAATGACCAGACTGAACTTTAACAAGTATCCCATTGAACATCTTGCTAGATGTCAATGACTGCCAGTGACACAAAGCTTGTAGTGAAACTTATCTTTAAAAAAAAAAATCCTTGTCTCATCACACTTATGTTATTTGTTATACACTTTGTAATTAGCTATTTTTAATTTATTTGAGTTACAAGATAGTGGATCATTAATGGCTTCTAGTTGTGTTCAGTTTAGCATTTTTAATGGTATTAAACACTTCTGTCAGTCTTAATAATAATAAAAAAGGAACCTCTGTCTTGTGCTTTGAAGATCTCTGAAGAATTTCTCTTATATTAGAACGGGCATGTATTGTAATTGTTTATACGTCCAACGATCTGTGCTGTAGAATAATGTTGTTGAGTTCCATTTTTAAAGAAAAAAAAAAAAGAAATGGCAAAGAACTAGGCCTCCACGTGGCGAGAATGATCTGTCTTTAAAATGTACTGTATGTTTACATTTTATTTCGAATTTGTCGTTTGTACTTATAGGCTGATACCTTCCCACAGGATACCACGATAACTGATGTTTTCTAGAACCTTCTTAAAAGTGCCATGTTTGGCAGTGCAAATGAGGTTGCGTGTCACAGCCCAGAGATTTCCTACGGTTGAATGTCTAAAATGGTAAGATTTGTTACTGCAGGTAACCTGCAGTGACCTACGTTTTTCATAGTAAAATTCAAATGAGCTCCTATTTTTGATAGTCATTTAATAGTGTATTTGCCATTTGAGCCTCAGTGCATATTACTGCATTGACGACAGTTTTTAATGTAATCTTAATTTTACCTCATATACTGTACATTCCAAAAATAAATAAATAAAAGAAAAAGAGAAGCTCTAAAGTTTTTAAAACTCTATAGATACACTACCAAACATATCACTTTACGGTTGTACAACGTCAGGCTCCATGAAGACGAATCTGTATAGTCTGATAGAAAATACATAAAACGATGTAGCAAAGTACCTTTAAGAGTCTGTGGACAATAAAAGTACCTTCTTTTTCGCTGCTGGTGGTCAGTCCTATGCGCGCTCCGCCGCCGCCCCTCTCCCATCCCTCCTTCCCTCCCTCCCTGCCTGCCGGGACCGCGGGGCGGGGCGGGGGCGCGGTACCTGCGGGCGGCGGGAGTCCCAGCGGGGGCGGGGACGCGGCCAGGGCAAGGAGAGGCGCTGCCCAGGGCGCAGCGCGTCCCCGGCGGGATGCGGGGTGGCGGCGGGAACGGCAGCGAGGGCGAGCCGTGGCCGTGGCCGTGGCCACCCTGCGACGAGCGACTGTGCCTGGCGGTGCCCCTGTGGGTGCTCGTTCCCATCACAGCCATCTGCCTGGGGCTCTTCGTGCTCGGCGTGGCGGGCAACGTCCTCACGGTGCTGGTCATCCGCAGCTACCGCGACATGAAGACCACCACCAACCTCTACCTGGGCAGCATGGCCGTCTCAGACCTGCTCATCCTCCTGGGGCTGCCCTTCGACCTCTACCGCCTCTGGCGCTCCCGGCCCTGGATTTTCGGGCAGCTGCTGTGCCGCCTCTCCCACTACCTCAGTGAGGGCTGCACCTACTGCACTCTCCTCCACATCACCGCCCTCACCGTGGAGCGCTACCTCGCCATCTGCTTCCCCCTCAAGGCCAAGGTGGTCGTCACCAAGCGCCGGGTGAAGGCCATCGTCGGCGTCCTCTGGGCCTTCGCCTTCCTCTCTGCCAGCCCCTTCTTCTTCCTGGTCGGCGTGGAGCAGCCCGACAACCACACCGACTTCAGCCGCGAGTGCAAGCCCACCCCGCAAGCCTTGGAGTCCGGCCTGCTGGCCACCATGTTCTGGGTCACCACCTGCTACTTCGTCCTGCCCGTCATCTGCCTCAGCGTCCTCTACGGCTTCATCGGCCGGGAGCTGTGGCGGAGCAACACCCGCCTGCGGGGCCCCGGCTCGGTCCTCCGGGAGAAGGGGCACCGCCAGACAGTCAAGATCTTGGGTGAGTCCCTCTGCCATTTCCCCCGGGCTATGGCTGGGGCTAGGACCGGGGCTACGGGGCCGTGTCTGGGGTTAGAACCAGGGCTGAAGCACCTGCAGCTCCCGAGCAGGATAGGGAATAGGATAGGGGGACATCTCGGCCATGGTGCTGAGCCCACCAGTGCTCCCGGGAACTGCCACGGCAGGGATTTCGCTCCCTCACAACTGAGGCTTCACTCGTGTAGGATTGCACATCCAGCAGCACGACTGCCTTCTGTAGAAATACCCTTTTTCTAAACTTTACCAGCCAGAACTGAGTACAGGGTAGTCTGCAACTTCAGTAAAACTGTAACATCAGTAGTCCCTTCCAGTGGGCAGCAACACCTCTGCACAAAAATTTCTGCTTCTGAAAAATAAGTTTGATTTCCTTAGTGGTCATTTGTAGCTCTCCTAGGAGTAAATCAATGCATTGTTTGCGCAAGGGGACTGAAAAAAAAAAACTTAACCCCTATGAGCTGTTTGAAGACAACTCATATAATACCAAAACACTTCCCACAGATGTAGGATGCTGTTCCTTTTTAGTTTATTTTTTTAGTCATATATTAACCCAGCATCAGGCTCTGGAAGGATAGAGATCACAGTCTGCTCTGGAGCTTTAAAGTTTGTAAGCAGTGACCAATCTGAAGGGAGGGAGGAAAGGAAGGGAAAGGAATGAAAAAAATCCAACTAAGCAGCATAAAAACAAATTAAAAAAATGTTATTTTTTTCTTTATACCTTTAGTGCACTTTTTACATGCTACACAGGAGACTTCTTTTACCAAGGATCAGCTAGTAAATCAAGAGTCAGGTAACCAGCTGGATGGAAGTAGTGTATGACAAAGGAAAAGAACTAATAAGCCTGAGAAAATTTTTGCTGACTTAATCGAGGAAGGTATTTACATTGAAGCAGGCATAAGATTTTCCAACAGAAACACCCATATCCGTGATCTCCTTAGAACCCACTGAACCAGACCAATGCTCCCTTATCTCAAAGAGCCAGGAGCAATGTGTTTGTGGTGTATTTCAGATGTAAACTTTCTTTGGCTATAGCCCTTTTTTTTTAATCTCTGAGAAACACAGACAATGCTCCATAAATTATTGTTTTACTTACATGCATTTATAAACAAAAATAGTTAAAAATATGGATACAGTAATGCACTTATTTAATTGTTCTTCATCTGCTCCTGCTGTGTTGCTATTGCAAGAGTGATTGTATTTGTTTGCATTGTGCTAAAATGCAATGCAAGCCCCATGAGAACAGCTGAAGTGACTCAGGCTAGAGATCCATCTAGTAAAATATGTCTCCAGCAGTAGTTGTCTGGGGATATGTGTTGGAGCTTCAATGGAAAAAAAAAAAAATTAATAGCCCAGCTACCCTGTAAGGTCTTTACATTAGATCCCATCCCACCACAATAGCGCAAATTATGTAGGAGCTTGGGTGACCAACTTGCAGCCCTGGTCTTTTTCAGTGATGTGAACATGTTAAACAACTCTGCAGCAAATGGAGCTGCTGTGGAGCTTCCTCAAAAACACCTCTTCTTATTCTGAGTTTTGTTTTCATATCACATATGTGGCATTACAGACATTGCCGAGAGGGATCTCTGTTGTGCCTGCTGTTATATGGATGTTATGCCACTGTTGGTTGTTTACATTTTGCTCAGCAAACTCATCTCACTGTTAAGCTTAAGATTTTACCAGTTACCTTTTAATCCAAAGACTAACAGTCAGACTTGATGCTATTCCCATTTTCATGGTTTTCCAACAATTCGCTGCCATTATTTCTACATATCATTTGTATCAATTAGAAGAACCTGCAAAATCAGCCGCATAAAATTTAGTTTACTGTACGGTTGAAAAGTTAACTCACTCCTTAACTGCCGCATATGTTATTTTGTCTTATAGCTGTGGTGGTTCTGGCCTTTGTAATTTGCTGGTTGCCTTTCCACATTGGCAGGATCATATTTATAAACACCCGAGACATGAGGACGATGCTGTTCTCCCAGTACTTTAACATATTTGCTCTGCAGCTTTTCTACCTGAGTGCAACCATCAACCCTGTCCTCTACAACCTCATGTCAAAGAAGTACAGGGCAGCAGCCTACAAGCTGCTGTTGCCACGCCGAGCTGCAGAAAGGGCTTTCACAGTAACAAAAGATGCTAGTGGCTACACAGAGACCAGCGCCAGCACAAGGAACGAGTACACCACCAGCTTCTGAGACTGCAGCCTGCACTTTTTTCCGGCATTCTTGCCTCAGGAAGGAAACTTCCTTTTTGCAGGAGAGTTGTAAAAGGATGGACATTTGTTAGGGCTTGTGGTATTTCGTAATTGTTTCTATTTTGGAATGTACAGGTATTTTGGAATACCTGTATTTTTGTTAACGGAGCAAGCGGGCACCATAAAGTAGGTGCAACTTGTTCAGCTCGTGAGAGATGAGGAACAGTAAATTGCCAGTAAAACCGTGGTTTTACTTTATACATGTTGTTCGTTGCGTATCTTCTGTGCAATTTATAATATTTTCTAAAAATCATAACATCAAGGTCTGCAAAGGAGCACTTCTTGGATTTAGTAGTGGGTAAAATTCCCAGACTGCCTTTGCCATTTTAAATCGGTTTTCTTATAAACGAGATTTTGCAAAACACCGTCTCTCATGGAGACAGACACCAAAAAAAAATCGCCCTCCAACTTAAACAGCCTTGGAAGAAGAGGTATATGTTTTTACTACCTGGTCTCGTAATCATGAAGGGGACTTTCCTGGGCAATTTCAGTAACTCTTCCCTTAGGAAAGCATCTGCAGTGCACAGCAGCCTCTGGGTTTAATCCTTTTGGCCTGCCCCATGTGATCAAATAAAGTCTCTTATTTATATGCTAGCAGCCAGTTCTCTGTATTTGTAAAAGTTTAGATATTCCAGATCATTTCTTTGTGATAGATGTGTAGTGTATGGCAGATGTTAGTGGTATGTGTCCACTGTGTCCCGTTGTGTACTGCGTGTGCAAATAATATGCCAAGTTAACCCATCTCGCCACAAACGAGACCTGTCACCAAACATGCTGGACTACACTCAGGACTTACTGCTGTGTAACACTGCACTGCAAGTCGAGAGCCAACCCACTAATTCTACTCCAGAAGATTTTAAATGCAAACTTCAGCTGTACAATTTAGGAAGGAGGCTCGTCGTGAGAAAAAGCTAGAAGGAGCTGCAACACTGATTTCTCCAGAGGATCGTTGCATCTATGAATTTTACCTGTTACCTTCCTGGCTATAGTGATGTAAATCTGGACCAGAATCCATGAAGCAGGACTGTGCTTACAGAAGCATGACTGTGGTATGTCAACACTTGCCCTTGGTTCTCTGTTAATTCCTCTTCCTTTTAGGTAGTTGTAGAAAGTGATGCAGTCCCCCCTGAGCCTCCTTTTCTCCAGGCTAAACAATTCCAGCCCCCTCAGCCATTCCTCATATGACTTACTGTCTAGACCCTTCCCCAGCTTCACTGCCCTTCTCTCCATTGAGGTGCTCCAGCATCTCAATGTCCTTCCTGAACTGAGGGGCCCAGAACTGGACACAGTACACAAGGTGTGTCCTCACCAGTGCCAAGTACGAGGGAACACTGCCCTGGTCCTGCTGGCCACACTATTGCTGATACAAGCCAGGATGCCATTGGCCTTCTTGGCCACCTGGGCACACTGCTGGCTCATGTACAGCTGCTGTCAACCACCACCCACAACTCCTTTTCCACTGGGCCACTTTCCAGCCACTCTTCTTCCAGCCTGTAGCGCTGGGCTATGATATATGATCACGGGGTTGTTGTGGCCCAAGTGCAGGACCCAGCACTTGGGCTACTGAGCCTCATATAACTGGCCTTAGCCCACCAATCCAGCCTGTCTAGATCAATTCAACAGAATTCAATAGCTATCTCAGAGATCTCAAGAGGGCAGAATTGAACCCAAGCCTTTTCCGGGTTTTAAAAATATGACCGGTTCTCCAAACAATCTGTAACTCTGAGTCACTGAATAAAAAAAAAAATCTAAAGACAGAAAAAGTCTCCTATCTCACTGAATG